AGGAACTAAACACAAAACGATGCACTTAACACGAGCTGACTTGCACGTGTGGCCCTTTTCACGAACCCAGACAAAGAGATTGGTCTATTATAACGCATGTACGAAGTCATTGGATTACAGCCGCACCAGAGATGAAGGCGACAGCGCCAGACATCAGTACGGTGTTGTACGGTATAAGGATGTCGTATAGCATGTTGTAAACACAGTACAATGAAATTCTGGGAGAAACCAGCAACCGATGGGAACGCTGAACATCACAACAGTGTTATTGTGAAGGATATAGTAGAAGTAGTAATATGTATTATTTTTTTAAGAAAGGGTTTGCTCCCCACACCGGAGCTCGCGCTATTCCGCCGACTTTACTTGACATTTGACTGACTCACGACTGCCATCCAGAGCACACGAGAAGTCCACCGAACCTTCGACTCGGCAAACCTGCAAGAAAGCACCACTCCCTGCTCACATTCATAGTGTTTCGGGGAATTCACCCCTCATCAGTTGAGCTTGAGTAGGCTGAGGAAGATTGTGCCTGAAGAGCACCACATATATAGTGCTCTCCATATATAGTGCTCTTGAGGCGAGACTCCAGCGAGTATAATTTAGCATGCTGCAAAAGGAAAGCAGTTGGGATCCAGGCCAGGTGAGTTTCTGAACATCGGTAGCGAGTGCTATCCGGAGTATTATGTTAGCATTACGAAAGCAAAGACAGGATGCGTATTACCGGAGGGCCAAGTTGCTGAAGACCAGTAGTCATTGCTGATAATGTGCAGAAAAACTCAATCTGCAGCCTCTTTTGCGTCGGACAGGATGCGTATCATAGGGGACTGTAAACTTTTATAAAGTGCTCCACAGGCAACCATGCATTCGGCCGTCAGCACACAGCTAAGCACAAGCACACTAGGCAAGGACGTTATTGTATTATTGTATTGTATCGTATTGTATGGAATATAATTGTATCTCTTTAGCCCAACAGGTTAATGTATTACTACAAAAAGATCAGAAAATCCAATCATAAGGAGATAAAAAGGAAAAGAAGGAGCAAAAGTGGATGAAGTGAGAGAAAGTAACAATGCACAATAAATTCTGCTATTACCGTTGCCTAACTCATATCCAAACTAATTGAAACGTTTTGCATTACAATGATGTAGCCATTCAATGGAAAAAAGTGATTTCCATCCGTTCTAATAACATGCACGATGAGCTAGGCAAAAACAGCATAGGGTAGGGCCCTGAGCTTCCAAGCTCTCTCGTTGTCAACGTTAAACGTTTCTCTGCCTGATGATTGGCAAGCAATGAGCTCACTAGCTACCAACATCTCGCCTTTCGGGTGTGCTGGTGCTGATGCCACCATTAGCCGTAACCAGAAAAACATACAGCAACAGCTAGGCCTTGACAGATTATGCTAATATCTTCCTGAAATTATGCTTTTCGCATTGCTGAAAAAATTGCAGAATTATGCTATTTTTATGCTAAAAGTTATCATATTATGCCGCATTATGCTCACATATGCTGCTAATGTATATGGTTCTGTGCAAAATAACAGTTGAATGTTTTTGTAGAGGGCGTTGTACTGTAGTAGCAAAAGTTCGGATTAGTCCAATTTTATGCGATTCGTATGCAATTTTTCTCGAATTATGCGATTATTCTATTTTGGTAGGAAATATGCGGAAAATTATGCTAGCATACCGTTATCTGTCAAGGCCTAGCAACAGCACCAGCAGCAGCAGCAACAGTACAAAAAGACTGCTGGTGTAGTGGGACACAGCTTCCCTTGGGAATATTTCCATGGTACAAGGTGCCGACTCGGATGACCTTCCCTCGACTCACGGGATTGTGCATCCACATAGTTTAAGTTCCTCCGGGATGACGTCACCCCAGGCAATAGCGTGCCAGCTCCCAGCCATAACGAACAATTTATTAACCTCGTGAAACCGCCACAGAGTGTTGCTTCACCACCATTCTCTCGCCATGCGGAGCTGGCCCGGAAAACGCGTAAGCATACAGGCGAGAATCGATTTCAATGTCACACCTGTAAGCGATGGTTTTCAAGATTGGATCAACGAGATAGGTACATGGGTACCCATACCGGTGAGAGGCCTTTTCGATGTCCTACTTGTGACAGTCAGTTTGCAGGGAAATATACTTTAGATAGGCCCATCCGTACCCATACCGGTGAGAGGCCGTTTCGATGTCCTACTTGTGACAGTCAGTTTGCAGGGAAATATACTTTAGATAGGCCCATCCGTACCCATACCGGTGAGAGGCGTTTGCAGTGTACCCTTTCCCTGACAAATTTGCCCGGTCTGATGTAGTTGGTTCACTTTACATCTCATAAGTTGTGCCTACAATGTTTCCGAGCTGCAATGTTTCCTTACCGCTTAACATGTGCCCACATTTTGCCCCTATCTCATCATTATGATTATCTGTCCTGTTAGGTATTCTTCTCGTGCATCATTTGAATCGAAACAGCACAAACGCCATGCACTGCAAGCAATCCCTCGATACAATTCCCTTAAAAAAAAAGGAGACAACCTGTATGAGGACAGCTTTTTGACAATGTAAGTGTGGTTTTCTCCTGCCTACTTCGTCTAGGAAGTATTAAATTACCAACTGCACATGCTCCTACTATTTTACATTGGAGGTTTAGAATAATTACGCCCGCGCTAAGGGAAACGATTGTTCAATTTCATTAATTTTTTTATTCAACATCGTATGGCTTCCGAATTCAGCCAAAACAGGAAGATGTGGGTAATACCCAACCATGGTAAAAGAAGGAGAATATTATATATTATGAAAAGGAAACAGCCGAAAAGCTATATTGATTAGTTTTATTATTATAATGGTGCACTCAGTGACGAGTGATTACTCAGCTATTCTACAGTATGACTTGTGCCAATATCTCCTCAAGCACCATGGTGTGCTTGCCTCCACATCCCCCAACCTACACCATCAACACACCTTTCTTACCACACCAGGCCCTGTCAATGCCTCCACAGCTCCTTGCCTACACCAGCCACACACTCTGCACACAGCCTCCTGTTTTACAATAACCACACCTACCATGACACTGCTATCCGTGAAACTTATCCAGCCTCGAACATTGACGCACAGCTTCACAGACGCTTAATTAAAACTACTAAATAAACACCCAAATCATACTACCAGAAAAAATTCAACATTACCTTACCTGGCATAAATACCAGTTTAGCCGGTACCATCCCCATATTGCATTGACCTAAGAAGAGCGACGAACTGACCTTGCTTGCATTGCGTCTCCTTGTTGTTCTTTGCAGTACGGCACTTGTACCGTCGAAGAAATTTAAATATGCTCATGACGGATACACCCTCAGCTTCTCTCACAGGACAGTAGTAACCCGCAGGCGAGGAGCCTTTTTAATGCTCAATGTGTAAAAATCGGTTAATAGTGGCGGGTAACGTAGACGCGCACCTCCGTAGCCATCCCCGTGAGAGGGGTCTTCAGTCTATTAATAGCACTGCTGCATCAACAAAACCCGCCTCGTCGACGGGTACCACTGGTTCCGCCGTCCCGCAACAACACGTAACCATGGCAGGCTCATCCACAGTGATTGTCCTGCAGGAGCAACACCAGCATCATCTCCGACAACAGCAGTCAGAACACCACCACCAAACCCAAAGCCAACAGGATCTGGTTCCAAATCCGGACCAGAGTACACCACCAAACCCACAGCCAACAGCATCTGGTTCCAAATCCCGACCAGAGTAGTGGCATGACTGTTTGAAAGTAACATCCTCCTGTTTCACTAGCATGCACAAAGGGTCCAACACCATCAAGGTATTCTGCTATCCTTGGAATGTACCTACCTCCACCGGTGTAGGTGCTGTTAGTCCTAGATGACAAAGGACGGTGATACTGTAGAGTTAAGTATGCCTGATCTGCTACAGTATTGTGCTGTTGCAGCTCCAGGGTTTTGCGTAGCATTGACTACTATGCCAACACCTTGCATATCCCTTGTATTAATGGAGTCTGTGACCAATCACACTTTGTCTCTTACATGCTGATAACTTTATAACACTGACGTCACCTACATGTGCATGGTTTGATGTATATGTGTCAACTGCCTTGTGTATACGGTTTGATATAATTATATATATTCTTTGTCGTTAGCTTGCCACTATCATTAAAATACACATGCCTATCTACGTCTGTCCACTTTTTTGCATAAATGATGACGTCACCTACGTGTGTATGGTTTAATGTATATTGGGTTTCTACTGTCTTCTGTATACGGTCCGATGTATGTCTACCTTGTATGTCGTTGGTTTTCCACTAATTTCATGACACCACACCAGCATATTTATGTCTGCATTCTTTCGTTGTTCATACGAGATGACAAAATCAGTTGTGCCTCGTAAAAGATGACAGTATATTTGATGTACTCCAATGGCTTTAACCCACTGGTCATCTGAAACATTTTCCCATATATTGCGACGCAGAACCAATTACCAGGTTCAGGTTACGTGTAAAAATCCGTGACAGGCATAAGTAATTTCAGCACCTCTTCTGCATCTGTAGTATATATCCTGTTTCACCGATCCTGTTAGCCCTCTAAAGGGGAAGTTAACACTAAAATGAAAACCTCACAACCTGTAGCGAAATCATCACTGATTCCGATGGTGAGGTTGATCAGAGCAGCCATTCCCAAGTTATACATGTTTGAAGGTTGCACTAAATTTGGCGACTTCATGAAGACGTCATTTACATGCCAAGATTGATCAACATGAGTACAACTGGGTGAGAGCACTACGCATTGCACCAACCATCACAACATCCATCCACAGCACCATTCATTGAGAACACTGCTAGCCCTGAGGCCTATGAAGCCTCAACATTGACGAGCAGCTTCCCACACAGCGCTTAATTCACACAGCCAAATCCACACCGCATATATAGTACCAGAAACTTCACCCGTACCTTTCCTGGCATAAATACCGATTTGGCCAATGCCATCCTCATGTTGCCTAATAAGCATGAACCAAGGAGTAGTTTGGTTCTCCCCTTGGTTGTTCTTATTATTCTGTGTAGTATGGCGTTTCCACGATCGAAGAAATTTAAATGTGGCCATGAAGGCTGTACTCTCAGCTTCTCCGACGCTCACGAGGTGGCCATGCACAGGCGTACGCACACGATCAATACGTTTGCCGCTCTCCATCACGAGTCAGCGAACAGTGCTATGGCAGGTAGTGAGACGAGTCAACCGGCCAGTTATGATCTTCCAGAAGAGATGTTATTGTCTTACCCAGTCATTCAAGCGGACGGCCCAATAGACACAACAAGCAACAATGATATGCGATTCTCCGATATGGTGACTGGTTATGGTGCCAACGCGGTTGGTTCGCTCGGTTTCGTCGCCGGTAGAAATCTGCATGACGTTTTGCAGCAGTCGGGTCACGATTCCATCTCTTCATTAACCGGCCCTGCCAATTCCATTGAAAAAGAGGAGTTTCACCACTACACTACAGATGTCGGAGTCACACCAGCTGTGACAGGAGCGATGGACACGGTAGTACAAGACGACATTTGGGCGAAGTGGCTAGATGTACCCATTGAAGACGCAGCTTTCGATCCCTTTGATTCCACCCACACTGATGGCGTAGTTGAGGATACCACCGTCGAACATCTGGCCACTTCAGGATCACAGTCCGAAACGCAACCCTATTCTCATCCACATATGCAACTCGCTCAATCACCATTGTTTCAAGATCAAACGAAATCTACTGTAACCAGTAGCGGGCACGTAACGCAAGCACCACATCAATGCCAGAATCTGGAAAGTTACACGCCTGAAGCACCAGTTGCCTACCCAGCATTTCCATACCTTCCACTATTGTCAACGTCAAAGGTCTCTCTGCCAGATGATCAGCTAGCATTGGGCTCATTAACTACCAACAACCTGCCTTCCGTTAGTGCTGGTGCTGATGCTACCATTAGGAGGAACCAGCACCACCAGCAGCAGCACAAACAGCAGTATAACCAGACTGCTGGTGTAGTAGGACACCAAAATGCCACAGCTTCCCAAGCAAACATTTCCATGGTGCAAGGTGCCGGCTCGGATAAGTTTCCCGTGACTCACGGGATTGTGCATCCACATGGTTTAAGGTCCTCGGGGTTGACATCACTGCCAGATAATAGCGTGCCCGATACCGGCAATCAAGAACAGTTGCATAACCTCGTGAAATTGCCAGGGAGTAGTCTTTCGGCAACATTCTCTCGCAATGCGGAGCTGGCCCGGGACACGCGTAAGCATACAGTCGAGAAGCTATTTCAAAATTTTCAATGTCAGACCTGTAAGGGATCATTTCCATATTCGTATACCCTAGATAGGCATCTCCTTACCCATACCGGTGAGAGGCCTGTTCGTTGTTCTATCTGTGAGCGTCAGTCTGCAAGGAGGGATATATTGGATGGCCACATCCGTACACATAGTGACAAGCATAAAGAAAATGCTCCTTTTGAATGTCCGGTCTGCGAGCGTAAGTTTTATTTGAAGCATGTCTTAAAAACCCACATCCGAATCCACACTGGTGAAAAGCCTTTCCAGTGTTTACTTTGCAATCGAAGTTTTACGCAGTCTTCTCATAAGAATCGACACATGAAGAGCGTTCACCAACAGCAGGGAGCAAGATCAGCATCAAGCGTGCAGCACATAGACTCATCGAGTCTTGTTGGTACGTCTTCGTTTACGAAAGTGGTGAGCTTGACATCACTTCCGGTGCCGAGTGCGGATGGACAGTTATCTGCCACAGCTACAGCGCCGGCTGTTGGTGCAGCTTCTGCCACATCTTCTAATACCACTGGTACATCAACAACACCCGCCTCATCCACGGGTACCACCGCCTTCGCAGTCCCACAACAACCCGTAACCATGCCAGGCTCATCCACGGTGAACGTAATGCAGGAGCAACACCAGCTTCTTCTGCAACAACAGCAGCCAGGACACCAGCAGCCAGAACACCACCACCAAACCCACAGCCAACAGAATCTGGTTCAAAATCCCGACCAGAGTAGTGGCATGACAGGTGGAATGGAAAATCCGTCTGGTTCACTAGCAGGCACAAAGGGTGCAACACCATCAAAGTATTCTGCTCTCCTGGGAATGGACCTACCTCCACCGGTGTAGGTGCTGTTAGTCCTAGATGAGAAAGGTCGGTGATACTGTAGAGTTAAGTATGCCTGATCTGCTACAGCATTGTGTTGGTGCAGCTCCAGGGTTTTGCGTAGCATTGAATACTATGCCAACACCTTGCCATATCACTTGTATCAATCAAGTCTATGATCTATCAAACTTTGTCTCTAACCTGCTGATAACTTTCTAACGCTGACGTCACCTACATGTGCATGGTTTGATGTATATGTATCGACTGTCTAGTGTACACGGCCTGATGTATGTCTACATTGTTTGTCGTTGGCTTGCCACTATCATTGAAATACACATGCATATCTTCATGTATGTCTGTCAACTTCGTTGCATAAATGATGACGTCACCTACATGTGTATGTTTTTTTGAAATTGACAATAATGCACTTCTCATCTTTCAGTTGTTTGGGTTGTTTTGAGTTATCACTTGAAGTTCAATGCACATTTTGCTATATTGGTGTATGCTATTTTTTGGTGCTTAGTATACCCGAGTTGATATTTATAGAAGTTTTGACTATCGAGAACGAAATTTGCTATAATGTGCTTGAAAAGCGAAAAGGTATCGATATAAAAACCCATAAATCCGTCGTTAGCGTCATTGGTTGATTGTTAGGAGTTAATGAATGATCGTTTCAGCCCTAGTTTGATGTATATGTGTCTACTGTCTACGGTATTCACAGCCCCTGAATCAGCATGCTCCTGTGTTCACCCCTTCGTCTCCAAATCCTCCAACCCCAGCATTCTACTCTACAATGCATCCATCCAACCGACTAAATGTTGGCCACATAAACATTTGCAGCCTACGACATAAAACTCGTGTTATAACTAAGCTAATAGATGAGCACTGCGGGGGTCTGCTTGCGGTTACAGAAACGTGGCTTGACTCAAGCATCTCGAACACTGAGGTTTCTGTACCAGGCCCAATTCTCTTAAGTCGAGACAGGCCGTGCGTTGATGGATGAACTTTCCTATCCTCCTGCATTCCATGTCGTAAAGGAGGCGGGATCTGCATCTTCGTAAAGGAACATGTTAAGGTTAAGCATATCTTGGACTACTCACGCTCCAGTCTAGAGTTGATGTGGCTTAGAGCTGGCAAAGAGAAAGATAGTACCTCGCTTGGTTGCATATACCGTCCCCCATCCGAGCCGGTAGAGTTTTGGAATCGGCTTGCTACATCCACCGAGCAGCTGGACGGTGAGAATATTGTGTTGTTAGGTGACATAAGTGTGGACTTTCTGCGTAAGACGTCTAGTGCGTTCCACCATCTCAAAGACACGTTGCTACTTCCGTGCAGACTGGCCAATTAAGTAACTGAAGAAACAAGAACAACAGGCTCTACCCGTACATCCATTGACTGTATTCTCACGAACCTTGATCGAGTTCCGTCAGCCTCTGTCGTGGACTGTGAAATTTCAGACCATCGCCTCGTCATCACTTCCGTCCCAGTGCCCATCATGGATGCGCGGAGCAATAGTACTACCCATCAAACACGCAGAGACTACCGGAACTTCAAGGCTCAGCGTTTCTGCGATATGCTGCTGTCCTCCGATCTTCATAATAATTATCTTTACATCCCGTACCCCAGACCCGATGTTGAACGAGTGGACACGGAGAGTCAATGCTGTGCTTGATATCATCGCACCGTACGCAACCAGGAAACACAGGAAAATTTGCTCGTTCATGACCTCGAAACTACATGTGTGTGGTTAGATGTGGAGGTGTCTACTGTCTACTGTATTGTGGTCTGATGTATGTCTATTGTCTACATTGTATTTCGTTGGTTTTCCAATATCATTAGACTACATAATTATGCATCTTAATGTCTGCATTCATTTCTTCATCATCCAAGATGACAAAATCGCGCACGTGCCCCATATGACGTGGGCTTGGTAAACGGTATTAGTTTCTTGCTCGAATGGGAGCAAACCAGCATACAAAGAACAGATGCCATAATTATAGGCAATAGAGAGGTTTTGCAGAGCGAACGTTCGCGCGAATTTTCGTTTGACGTCACGAAAAGCGAAACTTCGTGCGAACGTTCGCAGTTTTGAACGCGAAAGTTGCAGGAAACGCGAAACAAACTTTCGCAGTAATTTTCGCTCTTTGTGGACCGCTGGTCAGCCTGCACGGTGAGCGACCCTCACTCTTCATGTTTGTGCTGGATCTCTACTCTTGGCTTGGTCCGCGAGTGCTAGCTTTCCGATACTTTTGGCAGCCCGTGTTGTTTCATCTCCAGAACCATCTCCGATCTCCTGCTCGCTCGTCTTCTCACTGCTCAGAATCGGTTACATCAACGATGCCTTTTTGAATCTCAAGTGTTGATGCGCAAGGTTACGGCACAAGCCAACCCGGCCCGTTTGTCTGTGGGTCTCCGGCCATGGACAACGTAGTCAAAGAGCTCTCGTCTCAGGCCGTGACTCAGGGTACCTGGTGCGCGTGCCGCCACTCGCAACAAACAAATAATCGGATGGAGAACACTTCTAAAAAACAAGCGAGTGCACACGAAATTTTCTTGGAGCGAGAAACATGCAAACGTTCGCAGTAATGTTCGCTCTTTGTGGACTGTTCGTGCGCGCTGAGCCACCCTCAATTCTCATGTTTGTGCTTGATCTCTACTCTTGCCTTGGTCCGCGGGTGCTAGCTTTCCTATACTTGTGGCAGCCCGTGTTGCTTCATCTCCGGAACCATCCCCGATCTCCTGCCTGCTCGTCTTCTCACTGCTCAGAGTCGGTTACATCCGTGAACGCGCGTTGCCTTTTTGAATTTCAGGTGTTCATGCGCCAGATTACGGCACAAGCCAACCCGTTTGTCTGTGAGTCTCCGGCCATGGACAAGGTAGTCAAAGAGCTCTCGTCTCAGGCCATGACTCAGGGTGCCGTCACTCGCAACAACAAAATAATCGGATGAAGAAGTCTTCTCAAACAAGCGAGTGCACGCGAAAATTCCTGGGAGCGAAAAACATGCAAAACACAAATTTCGCGCGAACGTTCGCAATAGTTTTCGCAACCCAGAACGCGAAAATCATTGCGAACGTTCGCTCTGCAAAACCTCTCTACTATTATGGCTTCTGTTCTTCGCGTGCTAAAAGATGACAGTATCTGTGATGTACTCCTATGGTTGTAGTCCACCGGTCTTTTGAAAATCCTTTTCACATCTTCTGCCAGCCTTATCAATTACCAGGAAACTTGTACAATGCTTCGACAGGGGGATACGTATGTAGTTTCAAAACCTCTCCTGTGTCCGACGCATATCAAAGTGGTCATGATAGCCCTTCAATGGCCATTAAAATGTACTTTGAAGTACGGAGAATCCCTCTGGACGGAATTCACCTATTAAAATGATAAAAAATAAGAAATTAACCCCATTTGTCCATATTTCCCGGTTTATGTCTTTGATGGCATTGAGACAAACATTTTACTATCACGAGGGTCAAAACGGGAGCTCTACAACTCTGGTCCCACATGGATGTTTTCGACACCGCACTTTCCCATCTAGCCTCCACCTTGGTTTTGCGTAACTGTGTGTGTGTGTGTATTTGACTGTGATTCAATGTGTGTTTCAGACACCGGTAGCGAAAACTCACAACAAGATGGGAGGTGAGTAGATAAGCTGACCAGCATGTGGTCAAAGAGCGAAAATCCATTTCACTGCATCAATGTTTTTCTCGTATCAGGGCGGGAGTTCCCAGCAGGCAGGCATAGTGGGATGGTCTCAGACCAAAATTGAGAAACAGATAGTACCAGGTTCAAGTCCTGCTTGGAAGCGGAAGGATATTTTCCAGTTTTGCGACCCACAGTTAATTATTACAAGTAACACCAATATTCTAACGGTGCCAGCATTTCCCCTTACCTTTTTCCTCTTTGGAATTATCACAGATGTTCATGGCAACATATATGGTACCCCGTAAGAAGGCCTTAGGCATGTGGGACTGCCATTTTCAAAATTTAATAAAATAATAATAATAATTTGATAACCGCAATCAGTAATCCAAGCTGGATCGACATTTGTGTACACTGTATTCATGTAATGTAAAACTGTGGAGACAATGTGCAATAAAACGATGATAATGTGAAGAAATTGTGTAGAGAAAAAAAGGATTCAAACAAGTTTTCGTACAACACTCATCAGGAATCTTCGTAGCACTAAACGACACTGAAAACAAAATTGAACTATTATAGAAAATCTAAGTTAGAGAAATAACACTAAGAACAACAGCAGTGAAATTAGCTAGTCGGTATGTTGGTAGGACTGTTCAGCACCTGAACGCGCGCATCAAACAGCACACACCACGTCACATACTTCCACCTTGCGCACAACAACAAAGACCGACGCGAGGGCGACCTAGAAAACAACCCTTACCTACACAACTTGCGGATCCTGGCTCACAGACTGTGCTTGCTCCGCCGTCGCTGGTGGCGGTGGTGGAGGAGGGTGGGCGTGGTGGCTCATCGGGCCGGCTTGTGTCGCCGCCTTTGCTCCTGCCGTTGGTGGTTCCTTCGTCAGTGCCCCGGTGGCTTTGGCTGGGGTGGTGCCGCTTGCGTTTCCGGTCCCACTGCCTCCTCATGATCCTCCGACTTCCGCTCTTGCGGCGGTGGAGCTTGCCAGTGACAGACCGCGAGCAACACTGGCAAGGGCATTGACACTACAATTGCCAACCCAAAAAGACTATCGGCAGCTCCCACACCATCACCAACAATGCAATCTACAGCAACCACAACCAATCCACCATCCAAGCCCACTATTGAAAGACCTAGACGATCAACAGCCAACTACAACAGAAACTACGCCCTCAACGGACAAGGGCGTAAGGAGGGACGTGAGAGCAGTAAGACGGCCGAGTCCCGTTCAATGGACCATCTCAGGCGGGATAACAGAGAGAGCGCAGAGGAAGCAGATGATGGGACGGACAGTGAAGGGAGCAATGAGTCGGAGAGCGACGATTGTGGTGATCGTGAGAGTGCCAGTGAGAATGTTAGTGTTGTGCGTAGGTTTCGTGGTTGCAAGTCTTCAGTGTACAATCATCTGTTGGCTAGTCCTGATTGTTGCAATTCGTATTCCGACTCTTCATTCACTGTATTGTGCGGTGGTCGTCATGGTCATGGGCTACAGTTAAAAGTTTTGGAAGCAATCTGTCAGCGTCTGTATAAGCCTAATCTGCGTGTACAGAAAGATAGTATAATTGGGTTGAAATTGTTCAAGTAAAGTGTCATGTTTGGTGCGGCCGCCAAGCTTGGCCGTTAATGTTCTAGGTGTAATGTACTGCTGTTATTTGTTATCACTTTGTCCTTCCTTCTTTCTTTCTCTTCTTTGGTTATTTTTCAGTTGCAAGTTTAGTGTTAGTACACACATTCGTTATTGCTCTCGCTTTCATTGTTAAAATTCACACTTGTAAATTTCACTGCTGGTGTTCTTAGTGTTATTTCTCTAACTTAGATTTTCTATAATAGTTCAATTTGTTTTCAGTGTCCTTTAGTACAACGAAGATTCCTGATGAGTGTTGTACGAAAACTTGTTTGAATCCCCTTTTTTTCTCTACACAATTTCTTCACTTTTTCATCGTTTTATTGCACATTGTCCCCACAGTTTTACATTACATGAATACGGTGTACACAAATGTCGATCAAGCTTGTATTACTGATTGCGGTTATCAAATTGTTGTCTCCTCGCCGTTTGTTCAAATAATAATAATAACAATAATAAGGACCAATATGCAGGTCGACGATGTGCCCACTGGTTGCGGCTGCAATGCGAAGGGTTCACTCGGTTTTGTCGCTGGCAATATATTTCAGCACCAACACCACTGTCAGCAGTAACTGGTTCCAGAACCAGAGCCGATTTTTCGCAGGAATATTGCGTTGAAAATGCCTCCTGGTTCATCACCAGCCCAAAGTGGTGTACCACATCTGCTATCCTAGGGAAGCGTCTACTTCCACATGCATAGCTAGGCTCTGGGGCGGTGTTATTGTTAGAGTTAAGTCTGGCTTACAGGAACAGCTCAAGTACAACTTGGCGTTAGAACTACGCATAACATCCACTACCACTCTGCAACATTACTTTGATGATTCCAAGTGCACCCTGGCACATTCAATTTTTCGTTACCAGCACCCTGCTCATTTACAGTCCCTTAATTGGTTCAATTCAGGTGGCACCACCCGAAGCTGCGTTTGTCTCCCCCTAGCTAGGTCTACCCTATTCGTCAATTCCCCATTCTTTTCCTCCTACTCCACGTGGCTCCAACTACCGCCCAGTGTTAGACAAGCTCCAGATATGCCCAAATTCCGAACCCTCGAAAGACAGCACTTCAGTATCTCCTAGTAAACAAAGTCACAGTCCCCACTTCCGCTGCATAGCTCGCTGAGCATCCGATTGCTTTGACGGTTGCTAATCCCTTCACACTTTGTGTACGTGCTCTTCATTTTCTTTTTCTCTTCTTCCGTGGTTGGTCTCACCCTCTCCTCAATTTAATTGGCTGTCTTGACATGCCACGAGGTGCAGAAATAAATAAAGAAATTAGCACCAAACACCACAACATCCATCCACAGCGCCATTCATTGCCATAACATCAACTTTAATACTGGTACTCGCAACGGAAGTGTTGTGCGTAAACCACCTGATAAGGGAGGCAGTTCACATATCCAGACGCCCTAAAGTAAAGTAAAGTAAATTATCGTGTCCGTTCTCGAAGGGAACTCACGACGGCCGCTAACACACGGTAAACCCTAGCAGCAGATGCAGCGCCTAACGGTGGGGATGAGTGTATAAGTCTCACAACCACTAACAGAAGTGCCGAGAGCGACCCCATAAGTTGCATCAATGTTCAGACGCCATCCGAACGTGAAAAATGATCGTAGTTGGGTGCTACTGGACATGCAATTGATAATGTGAAATTTTGATGACGAAGACTGTTACTGTTGTCACTATTCTCTCCCGTTGTCTTGTGTGTTTGTTCAGGCCATTGCTCTATACATGTAGTTCAGCTCATTGTGGTAGCTTAAGTGCAGTTTGGCGACGGAATCTGATCCCTTTTTGTGACATTCACACATTCCTTTCAGGCACTTTGATGTTTTTTGTATGTACTTCGTTCCATGTGTTTGAGTGCGTAAACTAACACAAAACAGAATTTTTCCCATTTGGTCCGTTTTAGCATCTGACGGCTCGCTATGTGTTGTCTTGTCCTGCTTTCCTGAACTCAGAAGAAAGAAATTAGGAAAATGCACAAGTTGCAATTTTGAAATTTGACACCTAACCCAACAATAATCACGAACTCGTCAAGCACCACGGCATAACCTTAAGGATTCCTGCCTCTACACCCCTACATACACCAAACACAGATTTCCCCCCTTACCCTACTGCCCACAGCAGCTACATTCTCTGCGATAACAGTACACTGCTAGCCCTGTCACTGCCTCAACAGCGCCCTGCCTACAACGACAACACACTCTGTACACAGCCTCCTGTTCACACTAACCACACCTAACAGAACACTGCTAGCCCTGAGGCCTATGAAGCCTCAACATCGACGAGCAGCTTCCCACACAGCGCTTAATTCACACAGCCAAATCCACACCGCATACATAGTACCAGAACCTTCACCCGTACCTTTCCTGGCATAAATACAGATTTGGCCAGTGCCATCCTCATGTTGCCTAATAAGCATGAACCAAGGAGTAATTTCGTTCTCGCCTTGGTTGCTCTTATTATTCTGTGTAATATGGCGTTTCCCCGATCGAAGAAATTTAAATGTGGCCATGAAGGCTGTACTCTCAGCTTCTCTGGCGCTCACGAGGTGGCCATGCACAGGCGTACGCACACGATCAATACGTTTGCCGCTCTCCCTCACGAGTCAGCGAACAGTGCTATGGCAGGTAGTGAGACGAATCAACCGGCCAGTTATGATCTTCAACAAGATATGTTATTGTCTTACCCAGTCATTCAAGCGGACGGCCCAATAGACACAACAAGCAACAATGATATACGATTCTCCGATATGGTGACTGGTTATGGTGCCAACGCGGTTGGTTCGTTCGATTTCGTCGCCGGTAGTGATCTGCACGACGTTTTGCAGCAGTCGGGTCACGATTCCATCTCTTCATTAACCGGCCCTGCCAATTCCATTGAAAAAGAGGAATTTCACCGCTACACTACAGATGTCCAAGTGACACCAGCTGTGCCAGGAGCGATGGACACGGTATTACAAGACAACCTTTGGTCGAAGTGGCTAGATGTACCCAGTGATGACGCACCTTTCAATCCTTTTGATTCAACCCACACTGATGGCGCAGGTGAGGATACCACCGTTGAACATCTGGGCCCTCCAGGACCACCGTCGGAAACGCAACCCTATTCTCATGCGCAGAGGCAACTCGCTCAATCACCAATCACCATTATGACAGGAGCGATGGACACGGTAGCACAAGATGAAACTTGGCCGAAGTGGCTAGAGGTACCCAGTGGAGACGCACCTTGGGATCCCTTTGATTCCACCCACACTGATGGCGTAGTTGAGGATACCACCGTCGAACATCGGGCCATTTCAGGATCACAGTCCGAAACGCAACCATTATCTCATCCACATATGCAACTCGCTCAATCACCATTGTTTCAAGATCAAACGAAATATACTGAAAGCAGTAGCGGGCACGTAACGCTAGCATCACATCAATGCCAGAATCTGGAAAGTTACACGCCTGAAGCACCAGTTGCCTACCCAGCATTTCCATACCTTCCACTATTGTCAACGTCAAAAGTCTCTCTGCCGGATGATCAGCTAGCATTGGGCTCATTAGCTACCAACAACCTGCCTTCCGTTAGTGCTGGTGCTGATGCCAACATTAGGAGGAACCAGCACCAGCAGCAGCAGCAACAGCAGTATAACCAGACTGCTGGTGTAGTAGGACACCAAGATGCCACAGCTTCCCAAGCAAACATTTCCATGGTGCAAGGTGCCGGCTCGGATAAGTTTCCCGCGACTCACGGGATTGTGCATCCACATGGTTTAAGGTCCTCGGGGTTGACAACACTTCCAGATAATAGCGTGCCCGATACCGGCAATCACGAACAGTTGCATAACCTCGTGAAATTGCCAGGGAGTAGTCGTTCGGTAAAATTCTCTCGCAATGCGGAGCTGGCCCGGGACACGCCTAAGCATACAGTGGAGAAGCGATTTCAAAATTTTCAATGTCAGACCTGTAAGGGATCGTTTCCATATTCGTATACCCTAGATAGGCATCTCCTTACCCATACCGGTGAGAGGCCTTTTCGTTGTTATATCTGTGAGCGTCAGTCTACAAGGAGGGATATATTGGATGGCCACATCCGTACACATAGTGCCAAGCATAAAGGAAATGCTCCTTTTGAATGTCCTGTCTGCGAGCGTAAGTTTTATTTAAAACATCACTTAAAATCCCACATCCGTATCCACACTGGTCGGAAGCCTTTGGTGTGCTTGACATCACCTCCGGTGCCGAGTGCGGCTGGACAATTATCTGCAACAGCTACAGCGCCGGCTGTTGGTGCAGCGTCTGCTACATCTTCTAATACCACTGGTACATCAACAACATCCGCCTCATCCACGGGTACCACCACCTTCGCGGTCCCACAACAACCCGTAACCATGGCAGGCTCATCCACGGTGAACGTAATGCAGGAACAACACCATCTTCTTCTGCAACAACAGCAGCCAGGACACCAGCAGCCAGAACACCACCACCAAACCCATAGACAACAGAATCTGGTTCCAAATCCCGACCAGAGTAGTGGCATGACAGGTGGAATGGAAAATCCGTCTGGTTCACTAGCAGGCACAAAGGGTGCAACACCATCAAGGTATTCTGCTATCCTGGGAATGGACCTACCTAGGTAGGTGCTGTTAGTCCTAGATGACAAAGGTCGGTGATACTGTAGAGTTAAGAATGCCTGATCTGCTACAGTATTGTGTTGGTGCAGCTCCAGGGTTTTGCGTAGCATTGACTACGATGCCAACACCTTGCATATCCCTTGTGTCAATCACATCTGTGACCAATCACAATTTGTGTCTTACCTGCTGATAACTTTCTAACGCTGACGTAACCTACATGTGCATGGTTTGATGTGTATGTGTCGACTGTCTAGTGTACACGGTCTGATGTATATCTACATTGTTTGTCGTTGCCTTGCCACTATCATTAAAATACACATGCATATCTATGTCTGTCAACTTCGTCGCATAAATGATGACGTCACCTACATGTGTATGATTTTTTGAAATTGACAATAATGCTCTTTTCATATTTCAGTTTTTTGGGTTGTTTTGAGTTATCACTTGAAGTACAATGCACATTTTGCAATATTGCTGTATGCTAATTGCTGGTGTTTAGTATACTCGAGTTGATACTTATAGAAGTTTTGACTATCGAGAACTAAATTATGTGCTTGAAAAACGAAAAGTATTGATATAAAAACAAATAAATCCATGGTTAGCGTCATTGGTTAATCGTTAGGAGTTCATGAATGATCGTTTCAGCCCTAGTTTGATGTATATGTGTCTACTGTCTACGGTATTCACAACCCCTGAACCCGCATGCTCCTGTGTTCATCCCTTCGTCTCCAAATCCTCCAACCCCAGCATTCTACTCTACAATTCATCCATCCAACCGACTAAATGTTGGCCACATAAACATTTGCAGCCTACGACATAAAAACCATGTTATAACTAAGCTAAAAGATGAGCATTGCCTAGATCTGCTGGTGGTTACAGAAACGTGGCTTGACTCAAGCATCTCGGACACTGAGGTTTCTGTACAAGGCACAATTCTCTTACGTCGAGACAGGCCGTGCGTTGAGGGATGCACTTTCCTATCCTCCTGCACTCCATGTCGTGAAGGAGGCGGGATCTGCATCTTCCTAAAGGAACATGTTAAGGTTAAGCATACCTTGGACTACTCACACTCCAGTCTAGAGTTGATGTTGCTTAGAGTTAGCAAAGGGAAATATAGTAGCTTGCTTGGTTGCATATACCGTTCCACATCCGAGCCGGTAGAATTTAGGAATCGGCTTGCTAAATCCACCGAGCAGCTGGACGGTGAGACTATTGTGTTGTTAGGTGACATAAATGTGGACTTTCTGCGTAAGACGTCTAGTGCGTTCCACCATCTCAAAAACACGTTACTACTTCCGTGCAGACTGGCCAATAAAGTAACTGAAGCAACAAGAATAACAGGCTCCACCGGTACATCCATTGACTGTATTCTCCCGAACATTGATCGAGTTCCGTCAGCCTCTGTCATGGACTGTGTGTTTTCAGACCATCACCTCGTCATCAATTCCGTCCCAGTGCCCATCATGGATGCGCGGAGCAATAGAACTACCCATCAAACACGCAGAGACTACCGGAACTTCAACGCTCAGCGTTTCTGCGATATGATGCTGTCCTCTGATCTTCATAATAATTATCTTTACATCCCGTACCCCAGACCTGATGTTGAACGAGTGGACACGGAAAGTCAATGCTGTGCTTGATATAATCGCACCGTACGCAACCAGGAAACACAGGAAGTCCAGTCGGAAAATTTTGTTCGTTCATGACCTCGACCCTCCTTGCCTTGACTAGAAAGCGCAAATCGGTGTTCAAGAAACTAAAAGCTACGAACTTTCGAGACGAGAGCCTATCTGTACAATTCAAGCGGCTGCACAACCAGTGCAACAACTTGTATCGACACCTACAGAATCTATACTTTTCAGACGAGTGCCAGCGGTATGAACGAGAGCCTTGGCAGTCCTGGAAAGCCTTGAATATGATCACAAAACGTTCCCCTCCGAAGCAAACGGTTACCCTTCCACCTGACCGATTGAACGACTCCCTCACTGTTTGCAATTTTGCTCGACTTTCATCTCAAACTGGCAAGGTCAACCGAAACCACGGGTGTTTGCCAGGTCATTCGATAGAGTTTAGAGCTTAGACTGGCCTTGCCTTCGACTGTGCCGCCGCTCGAGCGATCTTCTTGGGTTACCCACGCACTACGCATGGTTTCTTTCTCGGCGTGGGCGCTGTTAATTTTGGATCGTCGCTGGATTTCAAGGGCTCGCCAACCTCATCAGCGAATTGTCTCCGCCTCGCGCGCAATATTCTAGTATACCTCGATGTCCTAGCCTTTCGATTTCGTGTATTCCTAAGCTTTACGTGCATCACTGTAGATTTTCTTTGCCATTTTAGAGACGTTATTTTGTTAAGAAATGGAGGCTCATGTTAGCATACTGTCGTCGTGTTGTCGTATCGGAGGGGAGAAAGTCGCGTCAAGGAGTGGACGGACGAAGTATCGTGTGGCAAATCATACTGAATCAATTTTGGCAGTGTTTCATCTCACTGTGGATGAAACGATATACACCCTGAACATTTTTGCCACACTTGAAAATTGGCCATGGAATGCACTGCTACTGCTAGGGGCCCAAAATTCCCTGGAGCTCCAGAGGTGGATGTACAACGCACAAAGACTGGGAGCCACACAGTGGGACAAAAGGTTTGAAACGCAAGCCTTCCAAGCCTGGCAGGAAGTCCAAATGCAAAACACAAACGCAAGACAAACTTGTGGGTTGGGAGAAAACGCGGGCCATCGCCCCTTAAGCACGAGCACATGCACGCCGCCACCACTGACAGCAGCATCACCAACAAAACCGCCGCCCACCACATCAGTACCTGATCACTGGATAGTTTAGTCAGTTTGGTTTACGAATTCAAAAAAGGCACACAAAATAACAAAACTAAAAACACCAGAGTCGCATCGGCCAAATATGATGAGCAGCAGCACGTCACACACGTATACCAAGCTTGGTAATAGTAGTAGTAGTTGTTGTGCCCAGCGCGGGCTTGGGACTAGTTGGTTTAGAGGGAACAGCGTTGCGAATGACCGAGGGTCCTCAACGTCTGGTCTCACTGTCCAGGAGCGACACTGACTCACGCTGCTATCTGGTGTTCACGAGGTGTTTGTCGCGTTGGAAATGGAGCGTCTCTGTAAATTTGTATCCCTGGTGATGTTTGTGCCTGGAGAGCACTATATAAGTGGTGCTCTTCAGGCACAGTTTTCCTCAGCCTACTCAAGGTCAACTAATGAGGGGTGAATTCCCCGAAACACTGTGTATTGAGCAGGGAGTGGTGCTTTCTTGCAGGTTTGCCGAGTCCAAGGCTCGATGGGAGTCGTGAGTCAGTCAAGTGTCAAGGAAAGTCAGCGGAATAGCCTGAGGTCCAGTGTGGTGAGCAAACCTTTTCTTAGTATAGTAATTATTCATATTTCTCTAGGGCTGTGAAAAGAATTCGGGTGGACACACCCATTCCCATAGCGCTGCACATCACATCCGAACCAGTTCCGTTATTTTTACAACGTTTCGGCACTTGGCCATCGTCAGGTAATAACAATGAATACCGTGGAAGCCACACAAGAACAGTATATACGCAGAGTGTAGCGCCGAAAAAGATGCGAATTATGTCACCTAGTATGCAGAAGGGGGGGGGCGGACAGAGAGACAGAAAAGGCGCAACTAGCACATCACGGAGGAGAAGCAGCAGAAGGTAGCGCGCATTGTGCTCTGTGTGTGGCGTTACGCAGAGTGTAGCGCCAAAAAATAAAGTGATGCGAGTTATGTCACCTCTATACAGAGGGGGGGGGGGGAGAGCGAAGGTGCAACTGTGCACATCACGGAGAAGAAGAGCGCGCCGTTGTACTCTACGAAGTGAGGCACCCCCATTTGCGATTCTATTCATGCATACGGTTGAGGCCAGGCTTCTGCAGGATTCTCCGTTACTACCGCTCCTCTACAAACGCTACATCGACGATATCCTGCTGCTCTGGACCCACGGAAGAGAGAGCTTGATGCGGTTTGTGCAGCACTTCAACTCTGCACACCCAAGTATCAACTTCACATATGAGCTCAGCGAGTTGAGTGGCTCCATAAATTATATGGATATCACAATTATGATCCAGGAAGACAAGCTGGCATACAAGCTGTACCGGAAGGCATGTGCTAGTGGTCTACTCATTGATTATACTTCGGCAGTTCCCCACCATATCAAATTGGCAGTTGCTTCGTCACAATTCCTAAGAGCTCAGAGGCTCTCATCGAATACCAGAATGCGTGCAGAAAGTGAAGCGAGGGTTCATGAACAATTAAGATTGAACAATTACCCAGAGAGAATCATTGAAGAGGCACGCACTGCCTCCATAAGGCCAAAGCGTCGTTGCCATGCCAACCCATGCTGCGCATTTCTAAAGCTTCCATATAAGTCAGATAAAGTACATCAAGCAGTGAATAAAGCAATCAGAAAGTATAAAATTCCGGTTAGAGTCGTATATGAGCACACTGGTAGCCTGAGGCGCACATTGTGTCGCTCCGCCCTCGTTCCTCCTCTATGTGTCAAGGCTGCAAATCCGCTACAACCGAAAAGGAGAGGTCGCCCAAAGGGGCCGTGTATCTCGTGTATATCCGGGGGACAGGATGTATGTATGCAGAAGAATTTTGTATATCAGCTGAAGTGCAAAGAATGGCCGGAACAATATGTTGGTGAGACTGGCCGCTTTCTGGAAACTCGCCTAGAAGAACATAATGGTGAGGCAAGACGCCAGAAACTCGACAAGCCATGGGGCCAACATTTTCGTACCACTCACCCTGGATGTAAGCTTAACTATGGGCAAAGTGCATTCTCTGCAGTTGAAGTAATAGGAAGAGAGCCTGATCGAGCCCGTCGCAAACTGCGCGAGGCGATTGAAATTCGTGATGCCAAGCCACATGTGAACATAAGCACCGGATGGGATTTGTTGTGAATTTTCTCAGCTTCCCCTGCTGCTACGTCAATATCACTGAATAATTATAATATGAGGCGGGTCACTCAAATCCATTCTGTTCCTGATGCCTCGTCGCGTCCCTGGTGGTAACAGTTTGGCATGGAAGTTTAACCTCATAGTGCATCGACTCATGGGGCTCCGTGCTCCCCTCCTGTGCTAGAATTAACACCATAATTATTTGGCATGTACCCTCACTTCGTAGAGTACAACGGCGCCCTCTTCTTCTCCGTGATGTGCACAGTTGCACCTTCTCTCTCCCCCCCCCTCTGTATAGAGGTGACATAACTCGCATCACTCTATTTTTTGGCGCTACACTCTGCGAAACGCCATTCACAGAGCACAATGCGCGCTACCTTCTGCTGCTTCTCCTCCGTGATGTGCTAGTTGCGCCTTTTCTCTCTCTCTGTCCCCCCCTTCTGCATACTAGGTGACATAATTCGCATCTTTTTTGGCGCTACACTCTGCGTATTTACTGCTCTTTTGTGGCTTCCACGGTATTCATTGTTATTACCTGACGATGGCCAAGTGCCGAAACGTTGTAAAAACAACGGAACTTGTTCGGATGTGATGTGCAGCGCTATGGGAATGGGTGTGTCCACCCGAATTCTTTCACAGATGAAGC